TCTCTCTCTCTCTCTCTCTCTCTCTCTCTCTCTCTCTCTCTCTGCTGTGTGCCCTCTGAAGTTGCATGTGTGTGTGCATTTTCAACAATTGTGTGCCGCAAATATTCTCACACATTTGCGACACTCAATTGGCTTTCTATTTCTATATTTGGCAAATGTTTCTCTCACTGTCTATTTCGGGTTTTTCCTTCAGTCTGTCAGCAGAAAACGGTGTGCATTTGCGATAATTGCGTTGTTGATGTGAAAATGACAGATTCGCAAGAGTTGAGATAGATGTTTTTTCTTTTGTTCGGTGGAAAATATCGATCAATAAAACAATTGCCATATGGAAAATGGCAATCCGACATTCCGTTCGAAAGTGCAATTGCATCGATTACAACTGCATCGATTTGGTGTTTGATTCGGTGTGAAATGTCTATAAAAAGCCTGTCGTCATGAAGTTCAAAATGCGCAGATCAATAAACGAAAACAAGAAGAAAGGGACACGAAAAAAAAGTGAAACTGAAAAATCGGCAGCAGCAGCAGCAGCAGAAATACGCTGACTTTGATCGCGAAACCCAATCACCGCTGATAAAACTGAATGACTAATAATTAAAAATGATCATTCTATCAAGTTGGCTTCAAAAAAATCGACAATGTCAAGTGATTCCGGCCACAAATGCGATTTCTGATTCGTCGCTTGTTTTTTACTTTTGTCTTTCGCTTCGATGTTGATTTTTTTTTTCTGTCGCGACCCGCTATAGAATGTGTGAGAGAGAGAGAGAGAGAGAGAGACTCAGAGAGCGATACGTTTTTCTTACAGAACATTTTGCAATAGATTCGATGAGAGGCGAATGAAATAAATGAACGAACGAAAAAATAACAACAACAACAAATCGGTTGATCACACACTCGTTCAATGAAATGATTCCTTTGTCATTCGAGAAAAATAAATCGCACACTTTCAATTGTCGATTATGTCTATGGTTTGTGAGGCGTGCATATAATATTATACGCACACACACTCACACTAACACAAACACACACACACACACTCTCCGTCTAGCTAGTACTGTGTGTATGTGTGTGTATGTTGTGTTTCTCTGCCAGTCGAACGTATTTGAATGTTTGAGTGGCCGTGCCGCGATTGCCCTGCTCTTGTCTCGTAAATCACAAACACATTAACATACAATATCACCTCTCTCTCATCCTCATGAAGTGCCTCTACACCACACAAAAAATCATGTATAATATATACATCAAGAGAACCTCTATTGCCTGCTGCTCTCTGAATCTTTCCATTTATGTCGTCGAATATTTTTTTTTATTCGTTCGTTTTTACTTTCTTCTCGTTGTTGTGTGTTTTTTTTTCTCTCTCGTCTTCTTCATTGAAGTTTGAAGAAGGAAAAAAAAATTCATTTTCAATATTTGCGATGCAAAAAAAACCGAATGCGACATTCGGAGCGGAAAAATTCTCAATCGACTCGTGGTTCTAGATTCTTGGATTGGACGCAATATACATTCAGATGATACATTGAAATGCCAATTACCACACACAAAAATCCACACACATTCCCCCCGTGCCCGAATTTAAGAAAAATATTCTCTCAATCTGCATCGTGTTTTTTATTTGATTTTTTTTTTTTCTCTCCCGTGTCTTGTCTTACTTTTCGATTGGGAAAATGAACGGCTTCTTCTTTTTTTTTTTTAGACGAATTTTTTTTTTTGTTCTTTTCATTTTTCGAATGATTTTTCATTTTCGTTACACAGATTTGTATTATTATTTATTTTCTTGCTCAATCTACTTACATCTTGATCTTTGCCTTTGTATTTAAACTCTTGCAAGCGATTTTTTCCTTGCGGATCGGCCATTTTGCGGTTTTAAAACTAAAATAAATTTTCTCTCGCTGTTTATGTTGTATATTCGGTTCGGTTGTCTTGCGTTAAATACAATTTTTGATGTATGTGAGATTGATATAAAAAAAAATTTCGCCTGTCCCGTCTCGTTTCGTTTTGATTCACTTCAATTTTTGACACTCAATCGTCCCGTATATCCGTAATGTATGTGTGCTTTCTCGTGGAACTTACTTTTCCTTTTAACAATTAACACACGACATTTTTGTGTGTTGCCTGTATAACAGCAACTTCACTCAAGTTCAAACGAGCACAAGAGAATTCCAATTCGCCGCGATGGCTGCTCAAACAGCGTGCAGTGACAGCTCGTCCGTCGTTCGGTTGTAGCATAACACTAGAGTATTAGTGCTACGGCGCCACTTGTTCATTCGCCGCCATTCCGAAGTGATCTCATCCAGCGAGCGAACGCATCGAATGCGTTCAATGCCATCGATAACATAAGATTTCATCATCTGTTGTCGTTTTTTTCTTCTCTTTTTGCTTTCAATTTCATCATGGAAATAAATTTTCTGCTAAAAATCAAGGGAAAATTACCGTCGAAATCGAATGATATGATATTTCGGCAAATTTTCAGACAAATTCAAATTTCATGCCTAAAAATGACGTCATTTCATTGCATCATTTTAAATTAGATTTCATTGCCATGGGATTTAAAAGAAAAAATCGAGTGACGACATTTCAATAGACTTTTTGGAATTTATGTGATAGTTTCAAACACATTAATTTACTCAAATGATTCATAATCATTTAAATCGTTCCGCACGATGATTCTTCTTCTTTTTTTTTTGTTAACATCGCACATTGTCTAGATTCTCGGAGACGAACAAAAAAAAAAAACAATTTGATGATTTACTATACATATACTTGTTAGCCGTACACTTGAGAATCGAATGACATCGTCTCTCGGTCAAACGCACACATCGATAAACAAACACGAGCTCATATGTTTCGCTGTCGTGTGTGTGTGTGTGGAAGTGAGGCAGATTTACTTGCAAATCAAAACATGCGACAATGATATAGAAAACCAACACCACACACGAATATTGTATTCCGATTCGTGTTCATTTCTCGTATGATAACTTGAATGAAGAGAAGAAGCAAAAAGAAGGAAAAAAAAACAGTAAATAAAATCGCACTGTAAAATGGTGTAAATAAATGAATACTTTTGTGAATTTGTTCAAATGTTATCGAACAATGACAGTAAAACCATTTGAATTGTCAACGCAAAATTGTCGTCGCATTGTGTTATGAACTAAATCGAAGTCATTTTGAGGTGAATTTTTCTTTTTCGTTGTTGCTGTTTTTGTTTTTGAGTCCAAATTTTGTGTTTCTTTGGCAAAATAAATAAATGAAAAAATTGACATCGAATTGAAAGTTGTGTTTAATTAGGACGAAGAAAAAGCAGAAAAAAAAAATCCGCTGTGTCAGCGCATTTTCCACGAACGAAAATCATCATTCCAAAGAGCCGATCAAACCGAATTTATTACTATATTGGCACACACGACTCAAACGAATTGATTGGCAGTGAGACATTGTCGGGTTTACGTGTCCATTTGAGGCTGATGTGTACATAAATGTCAAAACAGGTGACTAAAAAACAAAAACACTTTGTACATGCTCGATACATGCTCATATACAACGTGAGCGTACACACCACTATATATTCAATTGAAAATCTAAGTGGGAAAAAAAATTAATTAAAATTATATTTGGTTGGCATTGAAATTGAATTTTAATCATTCGTTTGCGTTCTATTTTGTGTTGTAGATGGAAAAAACGGAGGATATGGAAAATACTCAGAACGAGAGTCCAACATCGAAAACAAGTGAAAAAACAACCAAAGTCAGCAAACCGATCACCAAGACACAGGTGATGGGCCGAAATCGTGGAGCAGTACTGCGACTTCAACAGGATTACATCAATTTAAACAAAGACCCAGTGCCATACATTCGAGCCGAACCGTTGCCATGGAACATTCTCGAATGGCATTATGTGATAAGCGGACCGGAAAACAGCCCATACTACAGTGGAATGTATCACGGTAGTTTAGTATTTACGCAGCAATATCCATTTAAGCCACCATCAATTTATATGCGAACACCAAATGGACGATTCCAAACGAATCGACGGCTATGTCTTAGCATAAGCGATTATCATCCGGACGAATGGAATCCAGCGTGGAGTGTATCGAGCATTTTAACGGGGCTGCTCAGTTTTATGCTGGAAGATAGTTCGGCATTGGGCACAATGGTTACGGGGCGCAAAGAAAAACTTCAATTTGCATACGATTCGCTTGAGTATAATCTCAAGGATCACAATTTTACCACATTATTTCCGGATCTGTGCAAAGAAATCAAACAACGGCTTAAGGAGCGCGAATCAAATGAAGCCAAAATGAAGGCGGCCAATGGAACGAACGGCGGCGGTGATGGAACAACGGATACAGCAAATGGTTTACTTAACCGTAGCTCACCGGGTAATATCGATGACAATGGCGGTTTCCCCCATCTCATACTTATCATTTGTTTCTGCCTTGGCGCTCTTATCTTCCACCATGCTTACAATCTCGAGCAAATGAAGTGAACGAGCTGAGAAAAAAAAAACAATGAATACGAAAGTATTTGCATGTCATCTGGGTGCGAATGTGTTTTGGAAATGAATGTGTTCCTTAGCATTTTGCTTCAATTGCTTTTTTTTATTTATCAAAACGATTGATGATGTGAACAATAAGCTTTAGCTAAATCATAGAAAAACTAAAGAGAGATACTAATAGAGACATTTTTAAAGGAGACAAAAAATAAATCACAAACACATTTATGTATATTCTTCAGAAAATGAAGACAGCTCAAGGATATTTATGCATTTTAATGCTAAGGAATAACCATGGCTAAATTATATATCGAAAAAAAAGAAGAAAAATCATTGTTCTGTACAAGCAAAAATCATATTTTTAAGCTGAAAATGAAATGATGAGATGAAATAAAGGAAAAATACAAATAACAAGCACCTATTTACATTCAAATCGTTTTTTTTCTCTACTTCGGTGTGTGTGTGTGTGTGTGTGTGTGTGACATTATTCTGTTTCACAAAACTTATCGACATAGCTAACTCCAATTACACGAACCGCCAACTTGATTATCATTCACTTGATATGAACGAAAATATAAACAAAACAGGAAACTTGTCATTCTCTGTTTGCAAATGGTTTTTTTTTTCGTTATCATCGAAAACCCTGTAAATGCAGCATTTGAACCGTTTCATTCGGTTGACAAAGCATTCAAGGCTTACTAATTGAATCCGTGAGCATAAAAACGACTTATAAAAACGTCACCGAACAAAGCGAAACACCTATTTGTTACTCGTTCAATTCGGAACAAATTGTACACTGGTATGTTACGCCGAAAAATCTATGTTACGTTTTGATCGGCGATTTTTTTAAGTCGTTTTTATGCTCACGGGTTCAATTATTATCAATTGCATGTTGAATGCAACCCTGCACAAGTGATTGGACTAAATCAAATAGTCGACCGTTTTTGAATATCTGGTTTGTTCTCATCTTTTGGTGTTCTTTTTATTCTCGCTTGGAAAAGATGGTTTAGCTTGAAAACAAAAAAAGTGTCGCATAGATTTATGATCTTTTTTGTAAAAATTACCCGGAAAATGAAAAGGCATACGGTAATGTTTTATACAGATATTAAATTTAAGGTCCATCGCTTTGTCTTATATCTCATCTGGATGAATGAAAAGATTAGAAATATTTCCATCGAAAGAGTACATTTTACTGACTTGGATTGGCTCAACTGATGTTACTGAAGTTTGCGAAAGATTTCATAGAAAATCAAATGGCTGAGAATAGATTCTATATCTGTTCCAAGTATTTGAAAAACAACACTTTAATCTGTCGTACCACAAAAGGCACCGGATTCAAATGTTGTCAACACTTTGAATTTGCAAAATAATTAGAAATTCAATCTAATCGGTTCAAATGCGTCTCCTCCTCCTAGTTCACAGAAGTCACAATCCGGTTCATCTCACACATTGATGTGTTGAAGGTATCGACAATACCGAATTTGACCATTAAGAATACCATTTGATATGCACATTTGATTTCAATTGAGCAGTTTCTTTGTGAATTTTTCACATGGTGAAGGGATTATATGCTTGGTTTGAGAGCAGTCACAGTATTTTTGGTTTGATAGTAGCCACAGGTTCAATATCAGGTACTAGATTAAACCTGAACATCAGGTACTAGATCTTATTACTTAGTCAAAGCGATTTTTCCCTACTGAATCTATTCTTCTGATCATAAACCGATGTCCTGTCAAACTCTGAGCCAATAACCACAACACTTCTTATATAGTGTCAGGAAGATTTCTACTAAGGTAGTTCACAAATACCTTTCGCTCAGAAAAGTATTTCCAAATCAGCTCTCAAAGTGTGGAAACGAAGATTTTCAAACGTTTTGGAATAAATACACACTTTTCACAGCTAAAGTCTTTGCAAACGTGAAATTGATCAGTGTGGCAAGCATTTTTTGTACAAGTTTTGCTAAATCTAGCCAGTCAAGACCATTTCTGCATTGCATTCAAAATTATTCACAACTGTGTGTATATTTGTCCTAGCAGTTAAACAATCGGACCTATAATTATTAGATACAATTCTGTGGTGGAGACCGTTGAACAATAAAAAGCAATATATTATCAGGCCATTCTTGGTTTTTTCGATAATCTAAATAGTTACGATGACAGAAGAAGGACCATCATCATCAAAACAAGCCAGATACACGTTCAAAATCAGCACCAGAAACGAGTGTTTCGATATGGAACGCACCGAAACGTCAGAAAAAAAACCAAAGCGTAAGGGTCAACCGCAATTGATGGATCTCAATGATGACTGTTTGTTGGTAATTTTCGGTTTTATGAACGAGATTGAATTGTCCAACGTTGCTGAGACTTGTAAACGTACACAGACATTGGCTCAGTGTGTATTCCGTTTGAAGTACCATCGTATTGATTTCGTATCAAGGAAAAAAATAAGTAATTTGAAAGTGATACTGCGATTGCTTCGCAATTTCGGCAATGATACTTCATCGCTGAATATTCAACCGCAAATGGCATTTGAAACTGTTGGCTCATCACGAAAGATATTGATGCTGATTGAACGTTACTGTGGTAAAAATTTAACCAAACTATCGCTCAGTAATTTGGCAATTATCACGCCGGATCATTATAATCCATTGATCACTTTCTTCAAAAAAGCCAAGGATTTGAAATATTTAAAACTTTTTCAATGTGAACGTTTGCCATACCACATTTTAGAAGCAATTGGCCAATTGACACATTTGGAAGTGCTTCATATTGTGTTTGACTCGATAGCACATGAAAGTATCGTCCAACGGAATCTAATGTACTTGACTCCGTTGAAGGCGTTGAAAATACTGAAGATCAACTGCTTGGGAGTATCTCTTCAGCCATTGCTTAAAAATTTTGCCGCAAATAATGTTGCCATTGAACATTTGGAAACCGAAAAAAATAAAATCGATGACGCTTTCATCGAAAGTATTGCTAAACTGACGACGATTAAGAAATTAAAACTGTTACATGTGTTCGATATCAATGATGCGCACATGTTGAGCTTAGCGAAACGATTGAAACTCCTTACCACACTGCATGTCTATAGCGGAAATCGAGGCAATATCACACAACACGGACTCGTTGAAATGCTTCATGAAACGGATCGATTGACAGACTTGGGAATCAACACCAGCTTCGATTTTGGCAACGTTGCCTACAACAACTGGCTCACATTAATTGAAAATCGTCCAGAATACAACAAATTCAAGCTAACATTTTACCCAGCTTATGATTGAATTTGATTATACCAAGAAGAGTGGAGTCGAATTTTGGAGCGATGCAGAAACAATTCAATTAAAATACTACTCAAATCGCCCAAAAGGCTATGAATTTCTCTATTGATAAGCTACTTTTATTTTATTCATTTCAATCAAAATTTTCTATGTTAACTTGAAATGTTCGAATTTAGTTTGTAGAATAAAACAAAACGCAAACCGCGTGTGTGTGTGTCATATAATGCAAGAAAAATTCACTGTGGAAAATTGTGTATTGGAACTTTTAATTTGAAAGAGCTTTTCAAAAAAATTCAAGAGCTTTCCGGAAATTCAAGAGCTTTTCTGGACAAAATATAGGAAATAGTAAATAAACCAACAAATGAAATGCTGCATTGTTTTCTGTTTTGATTTTCGTACACGGACAAAATAGAGAAGAGGTACATATATTTTTAAGAATAACAATCCAATTTAGATCATTTCATCATCTGTTCGAAATAACAAATTGTTCTTGTCTTTCTCCATGCATATCTGTTGAGAATTACTATTTTGCAGCTATGAAAGGAAACAATGAAATAAAGTGACCAAGTGAACTGCAGTGAAATTGCATACGATTTTCATTTTTCCCCATTTTATGATTCCATACTATCAGGCAATTGATCTTCTTGAAAAGAAGGATAAGCACGTGTATTTTTGTGATGAAAAAAAAATGTGTGTATGTCAATTTCGTGCGTCCGTATGTTCAACTATAATTTTGGTTTTTTTAATTCTTAGCTTTGTTGTTATATGTGCCGTTTGATTTCTTGCGGCCTGGAAAAGGTTTTCAAATATGCAGTTAGTTTTGATTTTCGAATTAGATTTTTAGGAGTTCTATGGAAATATTTTTCATCTTTTTTCTGTTACTATGTGTATGTGTGTCCGTTGCTTATCTGTTTGGAAAATGGCATTCTCATAAACCTGTTAGGCGCTCTGCGTAGCGTCAATTATTCATACAGGGCTGTAGTTCAATTTTGTGAAAAATTGAAAAAATGTTCTAATATTGTATAGAACTCGCTTTGCTCAGCTTCGGCGGCTAGGTCATCTCTCTACAGTAAGATGTATGGCAGTATATTGTGAATGAATCAACTAACTAACTAAACTAATTTTTTCTCTCCAAATTTTGACTTTGTAACGGAAAGATTTTTTTATTTTACTATTGAAAATTTCGATGTTAAATTTAACACCCGCTTGGATTCGTTTCATTCGGTTGATGTTGATCGAAAAAAAACAAGTTCTCAGTGCTAACAACGCCACAAACAAAACCATTATGAAACTGACTTCATTCGACATTTGTTCATTAAATATGGAACGAAATCCAAATAAATGAATATGCGTGACTTATTGAAATGGCTAATTCATGCAAATTTAAAATGAAAAATCCATTTCATTTTTACAGGCTGAACAAATAAAATATATCGAAAATATACTCAAGCCCTTCCGTACGTGGAATAACAACAATACACTGACATCAAATTCGATTTCTTTGGAATAATCACAGAGTTCAAAAAAAAGGCAAACGAAAGGAGATGTTGTAAGGAAAAATAATCACATCTTCTTGAAGAAAGTTTATTTTAAATGTTTCTCGTTTCTTTATTCGACTCAAATCATCACTCCAATCAAACCACACAGCTGTCGTTAATATTAATTCGACATCTACACAAAACTGGCAGTCACAGACAAAATGCATTGTGATGAAATAAATTTACTGTGTGTAAGTGTGCATAGAATGAGCTATCGTCTCAAAGATATGGTACTATATTCTCTTGACTCTTCGCTCTTAGCGCAAAATGTGCAATCTGTGCGCAGCCGTGTGTGTGAAGGTGTAAATGTAAATGATGTAAATGATCACATCCAGCGTTTGCATATTATTCACAACGTAGATGCTACTGACAGTTTTGTTTGCAATCAAAAATATTCTTATAGGATAAGTTTAAACAATTTTCAAAAATTTCCCGAACAAATGGCCCAAAATTGATATTTCTAAATAAACTTGTCTTAAATCATTAAAGCTGTATTGAAACTAAGCTAGAAATTTGGAAAATTTTTCTATAATTTTCGAATAACATTTTAAAGTACTCGAGTTTTAAATTCTATATTATTGTTGATTGATGGTTTGACTCTCTATCTGATGCTGAACATAATCGTGACTATGGGTAAATGCAATGTCCACGTCTAGGTCTACCGGTTATTTTACATTTGGTGCCTTGAATACACAGTTTATCCCAACATCGATAGTAGCAACTTTTAGACGATCCTTTTTTGTTCTTCAAACAAAATCCACATCTGCCACATTCTGCATGTGATTTGCATGTTGGTACGCATCTTGCATTACCTTTTTTGTCTTCTATACATACAGTACCAGCAATACAACGGACAAGATCACACCCAGCAGCATTTGCACATCCTGTCATTAACACCTAACATAGTTAATTAGACAAAACGAGAAATTTAGTAATAACAGCTTGGTAGTTCGATCAGTGAATTTTTTCATGTTGTCATCCCAATATTTTTTTGATCAATTATTTGGAGTATTTTAAAATGATTTTAAATTGAATTTTAAATTGAATTTTTAACTTACTGCGATAAGAGTTGCAATGACCAAAATTGTAATATAAAAGCTCTTCATGTCGACTGCAAAAATTTCACTTCTACTGATTGATGTTGATCCAGTGAATTGCTGAAAGAAATTGACAATTTCATCAACGCTGCAAAGAGTTTTATATTTTAACCCGTATTGCAGAAATGTATTGACGCATTTGGCTTTATCCATTTAACCCATTCACATTCAACTATTAGCAATGTCTCTGTCAACTTTTTTTTTGGAAACTCCATGTTTGGTTGTTTTTGACCATTTTCAACCAAATTTACTTAAAATTCATTTGAACATTTGAACGAAATTCATGAGATTACAAACTTCACATTTGAAATTTGCTTAAATCTAAGAGTTAATGTGTGAATTCGACTTTCCGTGCACTTCACAATGTCGCTGGCATGAAATCTCCTATTTTCACTCTTTTATTTTTGTATATCAATGATGTAAAAATTGTATTTATATATTGAAATTTCATAAAAATGTGTGATTCGAAACGAGAAAACCATTTTGTTTATACCGACTGAACAAATAATATATCAAAAATATACTCAAGCGGCTTGAGTCAAACCTTCCGTACGTGGAATGACAGCAGTACACTGAGATCAAATTTAATTTCTTCAGAATAATTACAGAATTCGTACACTGTAATTCCAATGGGATTAGAATTAATACCATTGAGATTTTTTTAGCTAAAAAATCCAAAAGGATTTATATTTAATCCCAGCTATATGAAAAAATTCCATGCGTCAAAACATTATTATTGAAAACGAAATATTTCAGAAATTCAAATTGTCGAATTTGTTTTCAATGTGTAGCATTGCAAATGTTCAAGCGGCTATTGCAAAGTGATATACTAACACACGCACACGCACTGTCATCAGTTCTGTGCAGAAATCACAATACAAACAGAGGCTAGCCACTATATGTGGATGGTCGTGCATACTATTCTAATCCCATTGGAATTACAGTGTAGATATGTCCATCACAGGTTCGAGGTGAATCGGTCTTGTCACCATAGATGGATGGATGGATGGATTGGAAGGGCGGATTTCTTTCTTAATTCAGAAGCCATGCGTAGGTCTGTGACCTTTTGCACAAATGTACCCAGAGGCTGTTTCAGTTTTTCAGACTTATCATACCTGGCTCCATTTTTAGGAAGTGGGTGGTCCCGATTTTACAATCCCAATCAACCGGTTGACAACTCCGGGTGTGACCGTTGTTTGAGACCATTCAACCACTTTTTATCCAACAGAGCCAAGCGACCATCTTTTGTTTCGGTTTTTCAAATGGAGGAATGTTTCAATTTCTGATATACCGATATATTCATCAGTAACCGAACATTGTTTATTTGCGGTAGGTGTATCGGATATTAATTTATCATGTACACCAATCTAGCGAGTAAACACCCCATTTTTACGTGCACTCGAACAACTCATCTTCTGTATTGAGTACACGGGATCCCACGGCTTAAAGTGCCTTCCGAAGCATCCCACGGGCCTTTACATGGGCCGCAATCCATCAATTCACAATGCCATTGATAAAACCAATGATATTTTGAAGAGAAAAGATTTTCGGCACACATGCGATTCGAACCCGTGTCCCCACGCTTTTAGTGCTTGGTTTGAGGCCGGCTAAATGTTTTGGATGGGCATACTGTCGAAAAAGGCGATTTCCCAAAACAATTTACCATAATGTGAAAGTTAAATACTGAGGGTTTCCGTAAACTGATATTCTTGCCTATTTGAACCCAAAAATGGTAAAAAGTGCTCGCTTTTTATTACTGATTTGGACTTTTCGGACCATTTCCCACCACTTTTGCCTTATTCGACCCACGGTTTAATTTGAAAAATTCTTAAATCACGCAGTTGAACGTTAAATTTTGAAAATGTACGAAAAATGGTATTTTTGCATATTTGGACTCAAAAAACGTATAAAATGGTTAAGTTTTTTTTGCTGATTTAGAATTTTTCGACCATTTTCAACAATTTTTGATTTATTTGCAACATGGTTTGGCGGGAAAAATTCTTAAATCACGCATTTTAAAGTTAAATTTTTGAGGATTCAACCAAATTCGGGAAAATCATGATTTCAAGGCCCCATAACGGTTATAGGGTGTACTTATAAAGCCAGTTTTTCTTGTTTACGACCAAATTTTAAGTTCTACTTTGTCAGATTTCATTTTTTGGCCGTTTTCGCAAAGTTGGAATTTTAAATTTTAAATGCAGACCACTTAAAACGGGCAATAATTAACTTCACGCGTTTACTTTTAAATTTAAACATCCACGTATCATAGTAACACCACTCAACCCTTCAAGAGTGAAAAATATTTACTTTTAAATTTTTACATTGAATTTATAGTTTAATGCTCATGATCCATTTGGATTATTTTCCAAACCATGATGAAGGTGATGAAAGAATAAATGTAAACATCTGATATTTTCAATGATGTGGAACGCGAAATTAAACACACGTGCACAGGTGGAATTGTAATTCCATCAATTGTTTTGACATTGTTATCTCAAAAAATGTGTGCGATAATATTTTGTGGACTTTAATTAGAATCGTTATTGTACGTGGATTGAATTATACAGTGTGTTGCCACCGACGTGGCCACACTTGAAAAGTATATAAGAGGATGCATTCGATTCGTATGTCCATCAAACAGTTCCTACCAATTGATACGTTCACAGTAAACTTTTAATAGTTCAAAGCTAGAAAAATGCTGAGTCGAAGTTCTTTAACACTGCTGCTCATTGGCTCGGTGGTATCCGAGGTGAGTCGAAAATTTCAGTCGATTTTTTTTAAATTTTTCATGTTTGATTCCTTTTGTGGACAATTTGTGCTAATTTTTTCTGAAATAATTTCAAAAATGAAAAGTGTCCTTTTTTAAGTTTTTCAATTGAAAACAAACTTCGATTCCAAAAAAATGTCCACCGGAAACATTTATTCTATTAAAAACAGTTGGAAACTGTTATTAATACATTTATAATTAATCTAAATTCGCTGTTCCCATTCCAATTGCATCACTTTGATTCCTTTTCCACAGTTATTAATCGGGGATGTGAGTGGAGCACCAGGGAGGAAAAGTAAGATTGAAGTTTCATTTATTTATCCAGTTAAACTATTAAATTCCATATACAAAGCACCTTGTAACAAAGATATGAGAACCTCATTTATGCTAAACTTTTCGTGCATATTTTAGTAAACGAAAAAGACAAGTATGGACACACAGCTCTGCATAGAGCTGCTTTGGATGGTAATTTTGGACATGTTTTTTTAAAAGAACGTTTTGTTCAATCCATTTCATTGATCTATGAATATTTTTCATATTCTTTCAGGCAAAGTGAAGGAAGCTGAAAACCTCATCGCTGAAGGAGCCGACCCTAATATTAGAAATTATCAGAATGTGACACCTCTGCATTATGCTGCTATGGGAGGTAACGTTGAATACTTTTTGTTGTTGAATAAAAGATTGACCTGATTTTTTCCCATCGATCGGTGTTATTGTTCAGGTCACAATAGTATCGCCGAACATCTCATCCACAATGGAGCCAATGTTGATACTGAAACTGATAGGAAATGGACACCTCTTCATGCAGCTGCACTCAATGGTAATGTTGATTATTTATTCTCACTAAAAAGGAAAACGGATTTATTTTTTCATCGATCTGTGTTATTGTTCAGGTCAAAAGAGTATCGCCGAACTTCTCATCCGTGCACGAGCCAATGTTAATAGTAAAACTGATGTGAAAAACACACCTCTTCATTTAGCTGCTGAGAATGGTAATAGTTGAATACTTGTCTTTACTAAAAGAAGATTGATTTGATCTTTTTCATCCATCTAAATTACTTTTTAGGTCATAAGAGTGTCGCTGAATTTCTCATCCGTGCAGGAGCAAATGTTGATAGTGAAAATTATGTGAAAAAGACACCTCTTCATTTAGCTGCTCAGAATGGTAATAGTTGAATACTTGTCTTTACTAAAAGAAGATTGATTTGATCTTTTTCATCCATCTAAATTACTTTTTAGGTCATGAGAGTATCGCTGAACTTCTCATCCGTGAAGGAGCAAAATAACTTGATAAAAATAATTCGAATCAGACTCCTTATCACTTGGCTATTAACAATGGTAAAGCTGACTAAATAAGATATCGATTTGGTCTTTTTCATTGATCTGTATTATTTTTAGGTCACAAAGAGATCGCGAAACTTTTTGTCCAAAATTTAGGTGATTGGCTACTAGAATAGATTCAATTGGCTATTAACAATGGTAATGTTGCATTTTTTTTCCACAATACATATAAGAAATTGGTTTGATCTTTTTGATCGATGTGTATTTTTCAGGTGACGAATAGCTGAACCAATTTTGCTGAATAATCGGATGATTTCCTCCGGTTCACCTTTTTGATTGTAGTTTAGAATTAATTTCAAAACATTTTTTTTGTCAATCTATGGCCAATTGGCCATACCAACCAATATTGTTGCTTTGTTGGACCATCGATTATTATTCTGTCAAAAAACAGCTCAAGTTATTTGTCTTTTTAATTGCTTACATTGCATTTTTGTGACCCTAACGTACATCCGTGCTAAATTTGAACGCGATTTGTATGAGTCTAATGCCGTAGGCAAAGTCCAAGAATGAAAATAAATTATACATATAGTGTATAAATTTGGATAAACTCAATTGTTGGTCTTGTCAAACTGTACAACTTTGCAAAAGACAATGATCATGGTTAAACTCAATTTTTATGTTTGCTTTTAATTTCTTTGTTTTGATTTTGTGAAAGTTAATGTTAAGTTTAAGTTCAATTAGATGTTCAAAATCAATTATATTATGTTCTCTATATAAGTCCTTTGTTCTAATAACTCCCGATCGATATTTTTTATAGAAAAGGTTTCTTATGCATTTATTTTGCAAAGTTTTAATTTTATGTTATCATTACCCGTACCACTCCAGATAGTTAAAAGGTATATAATGTGTGAGTGAAAGAAAGAGAAGTACAGTAATTTCTTAACACGGTCATTGCACATGTATGCGATTCTTCTGAATACACCAATATAGGGTTTGACTCTTTTTTAAACATGATCAACATGCGAGTTCCAAGTCAGATTTGCATCAATAAACAGCCCAAGATATTTCATTTCATTTACTTCTTCGACTTTTGAGTTGTTCAAGTAAATATCCCCCAAGTTATTTGCTGCTGATCTCATTGAATTGAAAAATAAAAGTTTGGTTTTTCCACCATTTAGCACAAGGAGAATGTTTTTAAACCACTCACTTATTTTTTTCAAGATCATCATTAATTTGGATTGATAGTGTCTCAATATCATTACAGACATATGTAATGGATGAATCATCCGCATAGAGTTGAAGTGATCCATGAAGTTTTATTTTGAAAATGTCATTCATAAATATTAAAAATAAGAGTGGTCCCAGTTTAGATCCCTGAGCTACACCGTATTTGGTTTCACCAATATTACTGTGAATTTTGACAACTTCAACAACCCGTTGACGTTCCATAACATATGAGTTAATCAAGTCAAAAGCGTTCCCCCTTATACCCAGTTGCTCGAGTTTATTCATTTAAATGCCTCTGTCCACACAGTCAAATGCTTTAGCTACATCAAGAAAAATTGTGCATACCAGTTTTTTTATCATTCAGAGCTCTCTGAATCTTATCAATAAATGAGATGCATGTGGATGTCGTATTGGATTTTCTTGTGAATCCGAATTGATTTGTTTTGGAAAATTGTTTTTATTCAAGAAAATCATAAAGTCTCTCATATATGCATGCTTCCAAAATTTTTGATTCAGTATTCAAAATGGAAATTGGCCTGTACATTTTGTAGTCAGTCCTATTGCCACATTTTTTAAAGACCGGGGTGATTTTGGCCATTTTCAATTTTTCAGGAAAATTACCAATTTCAAATGATTGGTTAAAGTAATGAGCAAGAATTTTACTAAATGGTTCTGGGATATTTTTATATAGTTTCGATGATAGACCATTAGTACCAGCTGAATTACTGCTATTTAAATTTAATATGGTTTTGAAAAAAGCAAGACACAAAACGGCCCCGCTCTAATACATTTGTAAACTTGACACATCGCACGCTTCGCTACATCGTGCGACGTTCATACATGTTTCTGTGTCTTAGTGTGCGGTGGTAGTATCAAGTTGACATTGTCAAAATAATGTCTGTGTTGATGCAACCAACTTCAAAGCGGGGCCTACTGACGCACTGTTTTGTGTGAGGCTCTTTCTTCTTCATTCATTGGGTTGAGAGAAATTGAGTTCAAGCTATCATATTCCCCAGTGAAATTGACAAAAAGTTGATCTAAATCTCCATATTCTTTCTCAAGAACATTTTGTGGCAACTCAGTGTAATATTTTGTGTAAAATTATTGAGGAGATCCGCGGTTTCGGATTTACCCAGAATTACCCCTGACTCATTTTTTATTTCAATGTCTGATTTTTTTTTCGGTCTGTTTGTTATAAATTAGTTCATTAATGTTTTTCCAAAAATTTTTCGGATCATTCAAAGTTTTTTCAAACTCAGCATCAAAAAACTTTTTTTTCTTTGCTATGATTGCATTCCTAACCAATTTTTTTTTGCTTATTAAATTCAGCTCGATAAATTTCATTGCTGGTTTTTTTTTCTTGAGATCGAATAGATTTTTTCTCTTCTTAAGTTCAATTTTGATTTCCCCATCAATTCAATTCTGCTTTTTGTTGTTAATCCCAGGAACAACTCTAATTTTTGTACATTTATCGACTGTGTTTTTCTGAAAGTCAAAATATTCGTCATAGCTACACTTTGTGTATTCAAAAGACTGCAAAATATTGGCAATCTTTTCATAGTCAATGAAATGAACCTGATTAGGTGAATTGTTATTTTTGATTTTAAAATCACAAGAAAATTGCAAAAGCCTATGATCAGTAAAACTAATGTCTGTTATTTCAGTTTTGATTGCACCAAGTTTTGTGGAAATATCTGATAGAATGTGATCGAGAATGCTTTTGTAAGATCCATTGTTTTCACTATATGTGTAATTATCCCCATTGACTTCGTACAAAATCTCCAAATTATTATTATGAATTACGCCAAGATAGTTTTTTGTGTTCATATCATTTTCATTTAACAGATTAAAATTTAAATCACCAAAACAAATTAAATTCTCTGTTTTCTCAAGTAAATTATCGAATTTTTCTAGAAATGTTATTGGTGAGGTTGAGGGAGATCTGTAGATTCCCCCAATTTTAATATTTAATTCATTGAGGTTAATGATTGTTATGTGGTTCCTATCAAAATTTTCATTTAAAACTGTATTAAAATTTAAATCATCTCGAACATAGATAATTAATCCCCCACCACGACAATCTGTCCTACAGTTGGCTACGATTTGGTAGTTTTTTTTTAATTGTAAAATTTGACTTCGTCTTCTTTAATCCAAGTTTCTGTAATAATAATAATGTGAGGTTTCAAAATGAGATCATTAAAAATTGTTTCTAACTCAGCCAATTTTTCTTTTAATGATCTAATGTTAAGCAAAATAATTCTTAAAATTTCTTCGTTAAATTGTTTCTTTCTTAATTTCCTATTACTTCCTGAGTGACTAGTCATTATTATTGAAACGAAATATTTCAGTAATTCAAATTTGTTTTCAATGTGTAGCATTGCAAATGTTCAAGCGGCTATTGCAAGGTGATATACTAACACACGTACACGCACTGTCATCAGTTCTGTGCAGGAATCACAATACAAACAGAGGCTAGCCACTGTATGTGAATGGTCGTGTATACTATTCGTTTGTATTGTAATTTCTGCACAGAACTGATGACAGTGCGTGTGCGTGTGTTAGTATATCACTTTGCAATAGCCGCTTGAACATTTGCAATGCTACACATTGAAAACAAATTCGACAATTTGAATTTCTGAAATGTTTCGTTTCAGTAATAATGTTTTGACGCATGGATTTTTTTTCATATAGCTGGGATTAAATATAAATCCTTTTGGATTTTTTAGCACGTATTCTAATCCCATTGGAATTACAGTGTAAAAGACAAACAAAGGGGGATGTTGTAAAGAAAACTAATCACATCTTCTTGAAGAAAGTTTATTTTTATTGTTTCTTGATTCTTTATTCGACTTGGATCATCATCCAAATCGAACCACATAGCTGTCGTTAAGATAAATTCTACACCTACATAAAATTGACAGTCGCAGATAGAATGCATTGTGATGAAACCAATTTACAGGTTATTTTGAACACTGTGGGCGTAGAATGAGCTTTCGTCTTTAATATATAGTACTTTTTTCTCTTCTCTCTTGACGCAAAATGCGTGATCTGTGCGCAGCAGAGTGTGTAAATATAAATTATTATTTACAATGTAGCTGATGCTACTGACAGTTTTGCTTGCAATCAAAAAACAATACATATTCATAAAAAATAAATTTAAAAAATTATTTTCGAAGTTTTCTCATAGAAATGATCTGAAATTAATATTTTTGAATAATCATGTATTTTAATTGTCTTAAGAGATAATGCAGTATTGATACTAAGCTAAAAAGAATAATTCAAAAATTCTGCTAAAAATGTATACCATTGTGCTTTTGATGTATTCAAGCAGTAGACACAGATCACAGATGATTGATTGCAATTACCAAGTAAATAAGCATGGCTGTTCCACTATTTAGTGTTAACTTTAAAAAAGCATAAATGGTACGAAGTCTTCGCACGTTTTTTGGAAAGAAATTATTGTGTATAATTTTCAAATAACACTTTCAAGGTTTCAAGTCCTAGTTTTAAATTGTATATTATTGTTTTATTGTTGATTGGCGGTTTGATTCTTTATCTAATGATAATAACTATGGTCCAGTTTGCAATATCCAGTTTTACCGGTAACAACACATTCGGCTTCTGCAATACACAATATATCCATACATGGATAATAGCAACTTTTATATAGTCCATTTTTGTTTTTCAAGCAAAATCCATTTTTGCCACAATTTTTATTTGTTTTGCATGTAGGCACGCATATCCCTTCACCATCTTCCAATTCTATATAATCAGTATCAGCAGGACAGTCCACTAGTTCACATCCAGCGTTTGCATATCCAATCATCCAAACCTAAAATAGTTAATTGAACGAAAAAAGAATTTAGTAGTTATCGCTTTATAATTCTTTGTTTCAAGAACTTTCAATTTGTTCTTATAATTCCAAGACTTTGCAGATATCGATCCGAATTTTTTCTCGTTTTATAATAATCAAAGTGCGCTTTTGCGATATTAATTTATACGGAATTTGTTTTCACGTTGTTGTTACAATACATTTTCAATCATTTCGAACTATTTTAAAATGACCCTTACGGCGATAAGAGTTGCAATAACAAAAATTTTCATATAAGCTTTCTTCATGTCGACTACAAAAATTTCACTTCTACTGATTAATGTTAATCAAGCGAATTGCTCGAAGGAATTTACAATTTCATCAACGCTTCAAAGAGTTTTATATTTTGAAGCGTATGACAAAAATGTTATGACGCACTTGGCTTGAACCATTTAACCCATTCACCCATGTTTGGTTGATTTTTTACCGTTTTCAACCAAATTTACTTCAAATTCACATGGTCATTTATATAAAACTCATGAGTTCACAAACGCCTCAGTTGAAATTTGTTTGAGTCTAAGGGTTAACGTGTGAATCTGACTGTAATGTACACTTCACAAAATTGCTGGCCGATTCGAAAAGAAAAAAGTCATTTCATTTAACCAACTGAACAAATAATATACTCATTCCTTTCACACATGAGATGGCAACTGAATACTGATTATACATCATTATTCATTTCACCGACTGAATATTTCTCATACAATCCATTTTACAATGTATACAAACAGTGAGATCTGGTGAGATCAGGTAGTGATCTATCCACCAGCAAGTGGCAAACTGCGGCAACCTCTTGTGTTGATGGTGTATTGATCGATACATTTTGTTCTTCAAATGGTACACGATTGTCTGAATTAATAACATTACGCTCATTGTCTCGATACGAATTCTAAATAAAACGAATTACATACGTAATCCAAACTTTTCCGCTCCGCGGCAATTTGGTTTACCTCCCGCTTAGTATTTAACCAATATTTCAATGAAAACTCTTTTCATAGCACTTTGTTCGTGTAGAGAACAACAAACGGCTGTTTATTATGGGCATAGCTCATGTCATATGTTCTAAATCTAATCAAATTTCCTTTCCTCACATTTTTTTGCTTTCTATTATCTTACTCGTTTGGTGCAAACAGTTTTTTTCTCTGTGTATTTTGATTTAAAATGCGTTAATTCTCTAAGCAAGACCAAAATTAGCTTCAGTTGATGAGACATTTTGGTTCTGAAAATGGTTGAAAAAGAAACATCGTTTCGGTCGAAATAAAGTCGATTTTACTAAAAAAAATCGTCAAAATATACAAATTATTTCGGAGAAAATGAACAAAAAAGGCAAACAAAAAGGATAAGATAAAAACAAGTTCCTTCCATTCTTTCTTTCTTTATTTGACTTTAAACCCAGACCACAAAGCTATTCCACACATACAAAAATTAAAGTGACACATTCTGATTCTGTTTGATGCCAAAATGATTATCGGGTCATTCTTTATTGGGGGTCGCATCTTGCTTTACCTTTGACAACTACACATACGGTACCAGTAACGCAGAGCACAAGTGCACATGGATTGATCGGCGTTTTTGTGCAATTTGCTTGATGAGCGGTAACCATGCAATTGGTATCAGCAGGGCAATCAATTAATACACATGGATCAGTGCAGGTTTTTTTCTTCTCATTGTGCGATAACACCGAAGTGCAAGCTTGATTATCGGGGCATTCTTTATCGGAGTTGCATGGTGCTGGCACGCATCTTGCTTTACTTTTGTCAGCTACACATACGGTACCAGCAGCGCAGCGCACAATTGCACATGGATCGATCGCTATCGCCCATCCTGTCATCAAAACCTAACGAAATTGATTGCACGAAAATGGAATTTTATGATTATACTTTTATAATTCGATCGGTGGGCACCAGTTTGACTGAAAATTAAAAATAATTTTCTAAATTTTTCTGATTCAATTATACCGACACAAATGCCATTCTGTTGCCCACCACAATATAATATATTAACTCTTTTGCGCTACTAATTTTATACAGAATATTTTCAATCAACTTACGACAGTGCAAAATGCAATGAATATTGGATTATAAAAACACTTCATGTCGACCGCGAAAATGTCTCTTTCACCAGTGTTGATGAAGTGAGTTACTCAACGAATTTGATAGCTTCCTCAATATAGCGAAGTCTTTTATATTCTAATGTGTAACGCAAGTACATCCACGTGTAGTGACGCATTTGGTTTTATTCATTTAACCCATTATCATTCGACTGATAAGAACGCCTCTGTTCGAACCATGTTTCAGAGCTTCAAATTTGATGGTTTGTTTGTAAGTTTAAGTAAATACGAGCCGTTATAAGTAATTTATGCGGTTGCTGGTGCGAAATCGTGTGATAATTCCTGAGATTCACATGAATATTTGTACAAATCTTAGGAGCGAGCCCACAAGGTTTAGTATTGAAATTTGCTCAAAATTAAGGGTTAATATGGAAGTTTCGTTGTTTTATGTGCCGTGTGCCCTTCACAATGTCGCTCATATGAAATCACGTATTTTCTCTCTCTATTGTTTACACTTTATCTGTCCAAATGTTAAAAAGGGTGCAAGTAAAAGAATTCGTTCGTCACTTGTTGTTAATGCCATAAAATGGCTAAGTCGTGCATATTCGAAATGCGAAACTCATTTCATTTATACAGATTAAACTAGTGTTGGCTTCGAACGTCCGTTCGTTCGTTCGTCAACATGAAAAGAAACTGTTTTGTCCGTTCGTTCGTTCGGAAGGTTGAAAAAAATTATTTTGTTCGTTCGTTCGTTCGTGAAATTGAAAAATAATTTTTTTGTTCGTTCGTTCGTTCGAAAATGTTTTGTTCGAACAAAACATTTTCGAACGAACGAACAAAATATTTTTTTTTTTCAATTTCACGAACGAACGAACAAAACAGTTTCTTTTCATGTTGACGAACGGTCGAACAAGTGTTCGAATGTGTTCGAAGGCCTAGACTAAACACATAATAAATATAGACAATTGGCTCAAGCACAAATAGCTTCAGTCGGCTTCAGCTAATCATATATTTGATCAGTCTATTCAAATAAATTAGACATGCTCAGAAAATACACAAAATTTGGTCGGAATAATTCATTAATATAATCACCTGTTCTTAGAATCGCCAAAACAATGATACAATGAGCATATTACCCGAATGAGTGAATAGTGTAGTAAATATAAAAATTGACCGAACTTTATACGGCTTTATATTGTTTTTGTGGCCTAATCAAAATTATACTATTGGTTAGGGTTTTTGCTTTTATCGTTTGGCAAAAATTGTCACAAAAAATTTGAGACCATTGATGCTTTGACTTCACTGTGATGTACACCTCAAAACTCCATTTCTATAGCACAACTGTAAAAAGCTGATTCGAAGCGCACAAGAATAGAATCCTATGCCGGAAATGAAAATTTGGGATACAAGGAGTATTTTTCATCTCAGACAAGGCTCAATTGTTGAAAAAAAAAATCCGGAAATCAATTGATTCAATTGTTTGTTGATCCGGAAATCGTTTCGTGGAATTGCCTTTCCCATTCAAATCTTAAAACAATTTATTAACTACTTGCGAATGGAGGTTCAATCATATCGTGTCGCGACAAACATTTCATTTCTTCGGCTGTCTGTAGACTCATCACACATTTTTTATGGTAAAAGTTCCCCAAAAACTGCTGACCGAGCAAATATTGAAAAAAAAGGAAGCGCACGAAGCAATAATTTCTTACATTTAAATGTGTTGTGCGAATAAGCCGGAATCAGTGCCATATTCGCAGTCGCGGCACAAAAAAGCTCTCAGCTCTCCCATCCATCGGATTTCAAATGGAACAGAAATACAGAAAATTTTCCGTAAATAAGAGGACGAAAAAAGCGAGAAATGTGAGTATTATTATAAGCCACATCGATTACACACAAACAGAGAGTTCTACACACAAACAGAGAGCGCAGAGTTTGTTTGTAGTCGATGTAGCTGTGCACATCCGAAAATGTATGTTTGCATATACTTTAATCGTGGAACAAAGAACACCGATCGAAAGTAAATATTTTTCACTATTTCTGTGGCGCGGAGATAGGCATTTCAAAATTATTTCGAATCATATTGTTGATGTTTTTGTGCAATATTTTTTTTTTTCAAAAATCTGGAAAGATGATGAAAAATATTTCTGAATATGTGCAAAGTCAACTGCGCAAAATGAAATAATTAACAAGAAATAGATTTTAATATTTCATTCCTTTTGTGTTTCACTTAGCAAAAGTCGTTTGCTCAACCCGCAAATATTTATATCATCAATACTTATTTTTATCATCGTCGACATTTCCACAATGTTCGTTCATTTTCCACGTATCGCTTTTGATCAATATTTTATTTTATTTGGGTATAAGTAGAGGCATGGCCATCGTAAGCAACTCATAGCTGCTTTGAAGGGTGAGTCAATTTCATTTCAAAATATTTCAGCTCATACACGCAAGTAAGATCTAAGCTCTTTGGTGAATACAGTTCTCTTTGAACATTTTTTTTTCTCTTTGATAATTTTTGTATCATATTTTCATGGCAATTTTTCCACCAAATTAATTTGTGCCCATAAGTAAGACTCAATGGCTTTTTTAAACAACGATCCAAGCAAAAACAAATTAATACTGATTACAGTTTTCAATATTTCCGTGGCACTACCTCGGCCACTTGTGGTATAGACAATCCAAATTGGATTGTTGAGCTGGCGATATAATGTACAAAAATGTAACAAATTTTGCGAATGTGTGCATAATATGATAAACGAGAACATTTTAAATCGCAATCAAAAGTGTAAATTAAACCAAAAAAAACGTCTGAAAACATGCAGCTTTTAACACTTTCAGTTTATTGTCTCATTCCAAATGAGACTAAAATATTCGTTGCAAAATTAATTATAGAAAAATCTGTGAATACAATACTAACTCATCTGATATATTTAACCAAAAATTGCACTTCAAATTTGGGAAGAAGTTCTTCCCAACCAGTTCTTCTCTACAAAATTTATCTTTTCCCGACCGAATATTTTTCTGATTTTATTGAACCATAATAATTTTCATATCTCATTTGAACATTTCATCATTTCAGAAGTACAAAACATTGAGAAAAAAAGCTCTATAACCATACATGAAGGCCTTTCTGGTGATTTTTTATTTCTTCGTTCTCTTGAACTGTTCCATTGTATCTCAATATTGTTCGTATGATGGCCAGCCAGTGAGTTGAATTATTTTTAGTCAAAATTGGACATGAACTCAAATGAATAAAAACGTTTTAAAAAATGTATTACACATTTGCTTAGTGCGAGTCTCCAGAAGATTGCTGTGGCGGCTTTTGTGCAGACGATGGGTTCTGTGGGTAAGCAAAGTTGGGAGGTGACGACAATGTTAATGCCACATTTTAGTTCCGAGGAAAAAAAAAACAGAAAATACATTAATTTACCAATCAAATTGAGGGATTTTACATTGTGATCTACATTGCTGTTGATCCAACAAACGACGACCGAAATTAAATTGTGCATCAATAATTGGGTTACAAAAAGTTAAATTCTGTAAAAGAGGCCATTCTAACGATTTTATGATTCCTCGCTCTTTTAAATAGTGAATGCAACACAGACGAAGATGCATCCGTAAGTTGGTTCATTTTTAGTTAAACATAGACACGAACTCAAATTGACGAAATCATTTATATCAATGAATTACACATTTCCTTAGTGTTCATCTAGGTGCTGTGACGGTTACAAGTGTAATGAATTCGAAGATATTTGTGTGTAAGTAAACTCACTGGGTGACAACAATGTCAATATCATATGTTAGTTCCGAGAGAAGAAAAATTTGTGAAATTGCATTGGTTTTCCAATCAAATTGAGGGCGCTCGCATTGTGGTCTATATTGCTGTTGATCCTGGCTGCCACTTGATAAATGACCAGAGACTGTATTAGAGAATAGATATTCTATGCAAGTCAAAGCTGCACACAAACAAACACACGCTTGTGTCTTGCAATGCATGATCATTCGTCTGTGTTTGTATGCACCGTATGCCAACTAGCTATGCCATCCTTGCATATTTATATGCGAAATACAGTCTCTGACAATTGACGACTGAAATTGAATTATCTATTTAAAATAAGTTTCAAAAAATTAAACTCTTAAAAAAGGCTAATGACTTTATCATCTTCCCTCGCTCTTTTAAATAGCCCATGCAACGGAGATGACCAACCCGTGAGTTGACTCATTTTCAGTTAAACATAGACATGAACTCAAACGGACGAAATCATTTATATCAATGAATTACACATTTTCTTAGTGCGAGTCTCCAGAAGATTGCTGTGGCGGCATCTGTGCAGTCGATGGGTTTTGTGGGTAAGCAAACTTGCAGGGTGGCAACAATGTCAATATCAAATTTTAGTTCCGAGAAAAAAAAAATAGAAATTTCATTGGTTTGCCAATGAAATTGGAGGATTTCACATTGTGATCTACATTGCTGTTGATCTTAGCTGCCACCCAATCTGAAATTGAATTGTGCATCAATAATTGGGTTACAAAAAGTTAAATTCTATAAAAAAGGCCATTCTAACGATTTTATGTTTCCTCGCTCTTTTAAATAGAGAATGCAACAGTGATGAGCAGCCCGTGAGTTGACTCGTTTTCAGTTAAACATTGACATGAACTCAAACGGATGAAATCATTTATATCAATGAAATACCAATTTTTTAGTGTTCACCTAAGTGCTGTGACGGTTACGTGTGTAATGAATTCGAAGATGTTTGTGTGTAAGTAAACTCACTGGGTGACAACAATGTCAACAGAAAAAAAATATGAGAAATTGCATTGGTTTTCCAATGAAATTAAGGGCGCTCCCGCTGTGATCTACATTGCTGTTGATCTTGGCTGCCACCTGACAAATGACCAGAGACTGTATTTTGCATATGAACGTGCTGGTATAGATTTCCTTTGCAAGCATAGAACGTGCGCTACACACAAACACACACGCTTGTGTCTTGCAATACATGTAGTCGCAGGCAGCGAATAACATAGGCAGCACTACAATGGCTGCTGCTACTGTGTGTTGGTTTTTAAATCCGTACACGGGTGACAGTATACTTTTAACTAGTGTGACTGCACCCTTAGATGCGCGCGTCTGTGTCTGTGGGCAGCACATGTTGGTTAGCTATGCCATCCTTGCATATTTATATGCAAAATACAGTCGCTGACAAATGACGACTGCAATTGAATTGGTCTATCTAAAGAAAGTTTCAGAAAATTAAATTCTTAAAAAAAAAGCCATTCTAATGATTTTATCTTTCCTCGCTCTTTTCTATAGCCCATGCATAGCATCAGGCCAACCGGTGAGTTGCATCATTTTTAGTTGAAATTAGAACATGAACTCAAATAAACAAAAACGTTCATATAAATGAATTACACATTTTTTAGTGCGGTCCAGATGATCTTTGCTGTTCGGGGACCTGTCCAGCTTATGGAGGAGATTGTCCCTGAATAATCATTATTCATTCTAAACTGATGATAAATGTTCCTTTTCAAATTCCCAATAAAATATTTGCATTCTTTTGAATTTGGAGAAATCTTTAAACACGTTCTATTTATTCATTTATTTACAAATTCAAGTACTGATTGAATATTTGAGTTGTAATTGGTGATATTGTTCGATATTCCCTTCGATCAAACGCTTCCGATTTTATCAATATGCACAGCATAAGTTGGCAGCCATACAACGTTGATGATACGTTAAATTCGTTGTTTCCACACTTACCGAATTTTGTTCGCTTGACAGGTATTTCGATTCGATAAGCAAAAGAGATGGTTTTCTATTGCTTGTTGTTAATATGTTACATTTATACTTACTTTTCAGAAAATAATTATTTCAATGAAAAGGCTCCTGACGAAATTGCCCACTAAAAGATGTCGCTAAAATCCAAATAAACTAACAAAATCGACAAAAATAAAAGAAAAGTAAAACGCTGCATCGTTTTTTTTTTTTTTGGTTTTATTTATTTATGTATTTATTACACAGACAAAATATAAGAGAAGTACACATATTTTAGACTTGTTTTTTTTTTCATCATCTAGGTACACTTAATTCTTAGTTGCTGATTTTTAATTTTAATCATTTTTTTTATTTTGTTAAGTTTTAATTTTCTTAAAATTGTTTTGTCATTTAAGAGGTAAATCTGTGCAGATATGTGAGCGTCGAGCACTTGATTGCCAACTGTTTTGTTTTTTGTTTTTGTTAGTGTGGTCTCAAAAAAAAATGCGCGCTCGAAGAAGGCGTCGAAAAAAGCGCAAAGTCTGTCTGGCAGGGAAATGCATTTGTTGTTTCTGGTTGTATGTTTTTTATTCACTTGTTGGTTTTTCCGGCGCGAAGTGAGAGAGTTTGTCTTTAAAAGAGAGTAATAGACAGTGTCTTTCGTATCGTCGCTTCTTGTTCTGTGTGTATGTGTTATTTTTTGTTTGTCTGTGGTTGTTTTTTTTTGCGCTGGTTCGGGTCGTATTTCAAAGGCATATTAATCTCGTTTATAAACAGTGTCAAAAATTACACGATGCTCACATATCTGGTAAATGCTGCATTTTTTCGAAATGATGATTGTTTTTATTTATTCAAATTGTTTTTCTTTCTTCCATTCTCTTTGTTGTTGTTGTTGTTGTTCATTCATGTATTCTTTTTTTTTGTCTCTTTCAAATATATTTTGTTTCTTTGTTTTTTTTCTCATTTAATTTTTTTTTTTTTGTTTATTTATGGGTAAGATTAATTTCTTTTACGCACACAAAAACTAAAACTGGAGAAAAACCAAAAGTTGTCTTTGCTTGGAAGCCTCCAAAGTGGTTGGCAACAACAGTGGCTGTGACTTGAGAGTGATCACAGTGTCAGCCATAGACCAAATGGATAGCTTCCAGTGGCCAGTGTGTGTGTGTGTTTTTTTTTCTTCTTCATTTATATGTTTTTGTTGTTGTTGGTTTCTGACCGAAGATAAAAATAGAGAAAAAAAATTAGATATATATTTATATTACCGAATCGACGACTGAAATAAAATAGAAACGTTAAAAAACTAATCCGTCATTTGATAGAAAAAAGGCATTTTCATCATTTTGTGTTGTGTTGTTGTTGTTATTCTTTTTTTTTTTTGTTTGTTTTGTTTTGTTGTTGTTGTTCATAGGGAGAAGACAGTTCGTGTTTTCATATTTTTTTTGTTTTTTATATTACTTTAAATTTACATTAATTAGTTTGTCTGCATATTTTTTTAAATTAAATAGTTTTCGAACCACTTGTTTTTCTGTTGTTGTGTTTAGTTTAAAGATTTATCTAAGTCCAAAAACCGTAAAAACCGAATGGAAACAGAAAACCAAACATAAGAATAAATCGTGTTCTGGCTGCTTATCGGTTCTTTTATGCTTGATACCAAGAGCTTCGTTCCGGCTCAATAAAACTGATTGCAGAATGGGTTAGAAAGCAAAACCAAAATTAACGAATGTATTTGGTACCTTTGTCTTTTTCGGGATAAATCGCTCTCATTTTTTGTTGTTGTTGTTGTTGAAAAGGAAAAATTCGCAAATTGTCCCTATAAAAAAAATTATCTACACAATTTTATGTTTTATATCCCATTGATCGATCCGTTTCATGTTGTTCATGTTTAAATTGCTTTTGAATACTTTTCGTTTAAATTTTCAATTCGTTCGGATGATTTTGTCCCTAATCGTTCATTGAAAAAAAAAAGGAAAAATAAACGCTTTGAATCGAACGAGAGAAGGATGAACGGAAATTGGATCAAATAAAAATCAAGTGATATCTGTCTAAACACGGTGTGTGTGTGTGTGTGAGTGAGAAGTAATGAAGTGTCCGTGCAAATACAGCTCCAATGCATCTCACTGATTAATTAATATCGGTAAATTGTTAGATTGTTTTTTTTTATTTGTTTGGGTTATAGCTTGTTTATGGCACAGAATCGATTCAGTTTCACCCCGAAAATATCATCACAAAGAAAATCTCATTGATCATCGAGAACAGTTTCCGTTTTTCACAACAATCTCTTGCAACAAATTTGTCCCCATGAAAATTGTTTTTTTTTTGTTGGTAAATTTTTTGATCCGCGCGCACGTTGATTCGAATGTAAGAAAAAAAAAGTCAAAGCGGAGACAATGTTCCCATCATAATTGGCCACATTTCTAGAGTTTATTTTCTCTTCCTGTTCAAAGCACACACACAAACTACTTTCATACGTTAATTTACCTCATCATTTTCGAAATTTCGATCGGACTACGGTGCGATATTTGGTTAATCGATTTGGTTTGCAAACGTTTTGTTGTTCATTTTGTTGTGGTTGTTGTTGTTGTTGTTGTTGTTGTTAAATTTTTCATTAATTTGTTAAAATCTATTTCGTGAGTGTAATTTTTGTTGTTGTTTGTTATTCTAGTAAATAACTACCGTAAAGTGCTTTTAAATATTGTTGTTTCATGTTTTTTTGTTGCTTGTTGCTTCAAATTGTTAATTAGAATATGTTTTCCATTCAAAGATATTCTTCATCCACAAATACATATTAATTTATTGTTTGGTTGGTTTTAAATGTGTTTTGTTTTTTGTTTGTTTGTTGCGTGTTAGGTGTGTTTTGTTCTCGTAGTGTTTGAATATATATTTATAATTTTTTTTTTAAATATACGATTAAGCTAGTTCATAGACAAGTTTGTAAGAAGTTTGTTTATTTTGTTCGCAAAAAATATGGATCTCTTAGTTTTTTTTTTTTTTTCAAAATAGTACATTGTAACTAAAATTTGGGATTATTTAGTCTGCGACTACAATTGTTATTAGTTTAAATATCTGTTCTGTAACAAGAGAGGTGTGTGTGTGTGTGTGTGTCAGTATGAGGGGATGGGGCTGGTGTGATTGAGATTGATTGAGCACGAATTAAGACGAACTTTTTTCTCTCACGATTTTAAAAGGAAGAAGAAGAAGAAAAACCGGGGCTCGAACAAATGGTGCTGCAAAGGGGTTCAATTCTGCGCCGTTGACACTTCAAAATCTTGCATTTTCAATCTGCGTTTTTTTTTTCTTTCCAAAATTCTATTTCAAATTGTTTGGTTTTGTTTCATTTCTCAATACAAACAGACTCAAACTCGAAGAAAATCTTCTATTTCAAAATGGACGTCTATATCGAACTAGAGAGAGAGTGTGTGAATCAAAAAAAAAAAACTAACGAGTAAATGTGTCCATTAAAATCCAACAAAAGAGAGAGACAGTAAACAATTTAACGCCGAATGCAAAATTTTAATTGATTCTCCAATTAGTTTGTTGTCGTGTTGTCGGTGGGGTGATGGAGGCGGCCTGGCCAAACAAGTTGTGCCAATTCCGCACACGCTCGACCCATCGAACACGTCGTTCGTGCGTTTTTGGGTGGTGGTGGTTCTTTTGCAATGCGTGAAATGATTTATCTTTTGCTTTGTTTTTTCTCTTTTGAATCGGTAATTGGTTGTTTTTGCTTTGTTACGCGAAGTTCAAAATGATAAAAGTCTATTGTTGCGGATTCAGTTCGATTTTTTTTTTTTTGGTAAATCTTTCAATTTGCAACACTATTTGCATGGGCGCATTTAGCATGTTCGTATCTTGTGTTGTTTAAATTGTTTGGTTTTCTTGCCGGTTTTGTCCTCACTTTCGTTTAATATAATTCATTAAATATCATATATATACTTATATATCATTTTATCATTTTAGATGATTTTTTTTTTTCGTTTTAAAATAATTCTTTGCTTTTAATTTTTGTTTGTTTCATTTTGTTTATAATTTTATCCATAACGTCGTAATCATAATTCATAAATTTGAAGATAATCAAAAATGTTGTGGTTTTTGTTTTGAAAGGAAATTTTATTTTATTCTCGTGTTGTTGTTGTTCTCTTGTCTGTTTATCGATTTGGTTGTTGCTTTGGTAAAACAAGAAAAAAAAAACCGTGAACGATAAATAATATTTGGGATTGCCGGGAATGAAAATGCTTTGTTCATGTTTCGTCTGTTCCACACGAACACAAAACATATGCTCCACAGTGTGTGTCGGTCTGTCGGGCTCAAAATCGATAGTTGAGAGAACGATGCAAAAAGTCGATGTTTTGGGCTTGGTGTTGAGAGTGTGAGTGAATGGTGTGTAGAGAAGTCAATTGCCAAGACTTGTCCAAGACAAACGCCTTGGCACATCGCCACACACACAAATTACACACACTCACACGCACACACACTCGGAACCGACTCAATGACGCATTTTTATTAAGTGGATGCATTTTCTGTTTCGGTCTGTGGATGCAATTTTGCATTTGCTTGGTTTTGTTTGTCCCATTTTATTATTGGTTTCAATAAATTTTAATTTTTGAGTTAACATTATAGATCAAATATTATGTGGGTGTGGGTTTTTGTTGTTTCATTTCTCTTCTAACTGGGTTGTTTCATTTTTTTTTCTTCTTTGCTTTAAATATTATCTGGTGTTTTGTCCTCTGCTCCCTCTCTATCTCTTTCTCGCCTAATCGTTCTTTTTTTGCTTTTTTTTTTCATTCTGTTTGCTGCATATCGTCCAAAAAAAATGCACAATAACAACAAAACAATCGAATTGGCCCCAATAGGTGGTCAATTGCATGCAACTGCTTGTCATTACCGCTTCTTCCGTTCGAATATGTTTCTACTAGTTTTTTTTTAACTGTTCAAATCAAATTTCATATATATATTTTATTTTATTTAATTTCACTTTAATTTTTTTTCTCTCAATTTTTT